ATGCAATTTTGAATAATCTTGTTCAAATTTTCTTCCGCTTATATAGTTATTTTTAAAGCATTTCTAGGAACCGCGAAATATTCTAAATCAAACTTCCTTAAAGTACTATGAATAATCTCTTTATCAGCAAAATAACTGATAACAAGACAACATGCCTACATCGACAGTCGAAAGCACTTAGCTAATAAATAATGGAACGCTTTCACATGCAATAAGAAAAGAAGTTGTAAGGAGAAAAATCATTTTAAATATTGTTAAGATCCTATGCGCAAGAATATATAATAAATATTCCAACAATTCGCCTAACGTAGATACAAAATGAAAACATATACTAAATGTTAAAGAAAGGAAATATACATTTCAAGCTTTAAATACATTTTTTTCATAAAACATACTTGTTATTTTCAGATAATGAATATCCTCTTAAATTTTCATTTTTACTTACCTATTTAAACGCACAAACATTTAGTACTATAGCACTTCTACGCTTCGTTATGCAATAATTTAAACAGAAATTAATCAACTAACCATAAAGACCAGGTGCAACCGTGATGATATCTTGCTCAGTGATATTTAACATTTCACGCCTACTAGTTTCAAACTGTTCAACCTCGCACATGCGTTTCACAATAGGCTCAGCATTTTCATCACTTACTGATAACTTTTGCAAAGTACCCTTAATTAATGAAATAGACTGGTGTCCACATAAATTATTATATCATACTATACTCCAACAGGATCAACTATTAAATAATCAATTTAACTGAAACATTGAAATGTTTTTAATTAGTGTAATTTCATAAAATTAAAACTCACAGTATAATATGTTTGGCAAACCAATTCAAACAACTTCCGTGTTCTTTCTATCAAAACTTTCTGCTGAATATGGCGCTTTATATCAAGCATAAAACCAAATGGTAGGGTTGGTAGCTTTTGTAACATTTCCAAATACTTAATAGTTAGCTGAAAAAAATTTAGCCGACATATTTTTGCAGTGAAAGATAAGGAAAATTTTCAAAATATATGGAACTTTTAAAGTTTGTAAACTTATACTTGTTCGTCACAAAAATTTTCCAAAATTACTCAAGAAATTCACAGTTGAAATCATTAGGAAAAATTTGTTTCAGTTGAAATACTCACATGGATTCGTGCAACATCTCGCTTGTTTCGATAACAATCAAATGCTCGCTCCACACACCATTCATTCTATACTGAGAATTACAAGTTTATTTTCCTTTGAGCATACTTTAGGAAGACAAAATAAATATTTCTTTTTGTTAAAAAAACAGTTTATCAAACCTAACCGGAGCCCAAGGAAGAGTTTGTGGATTTCCAATTAGCAGCACGTTTTCTTCAACTTCGTCCTGTGGTGGTGGCTTTAATCTTTCCCTACAGGAAAAGGGATTACAATAAGAAAAGATTTAGTTTAACCAGCTAAACAAAATTCCATACAAATCATTGACACGAGAAAATGCTAGAAAAAAAAAAGAACTTCATAATTTGTTTAGAGCAAGCTTTTAATTAACCATTTTGTAATTCCTTTGAATTCAATCAAATTTTTTGATTTCGCTTATGCACATCACACATTTCCTCATATCACGGAAAAGAATGAACTCACCATACTGTTTTGATAGCACTAAACTCTGAATCCCAAGCATAGTTTTCTCGACAAATCTTGTCGTATTCATATTGGAAGGGTGCATCAAAACAATCATGTTCAATGAGGACTGGTAAACGCGGCCGAAATAGATATTTCGAACTTATTTCTTTTTCCACTGTCTTTTTTTCTTCTTCCAGACGTAGAATTTTATCACGCGAATAACTTGATTTATATCGATAATGACATAATTTGGCATTGGAACATCGAAATAGTGCATCTATAAAAAAATACCAACAAAGTTCAAACTTCTTATCCGAATTACTACTAGTTGGGCTGTTGTTTCCGGTTAAATAAAGATAAAATTACAGCATTTCAAAAAAATTTTTGCTAGATTTAGCCGCATTATACCTCCTTAAAGGAGAAAATAGACTCTATATGGACCATAAAACATTATATTTACCAAAAACTCGAGACTTGCTAGTAAATCCCATTTCTAATTTCAGTTCATCACAGAATAATCTGAAAGAAGCACTACTTATAATCATAATTAAATTTATGATAACAGAAGTTTTTGAAAAAGAACATACCACATAAGAGTGGAAAATGCTTTATAGGTTAAAAAAAGACTGTCTTTAACTGACATAACTTTATTATAAAGTCGAAAATCCAAAAAGTGTACATTAAGTAACGTAATGTTCTGTTACTGTAAATGCAGAAATGAGCACTGCAATAATAAGTCGGAACTTCAATCTGTATTTATTATTCAGAACAGAAGCATAATCTGCATATGACAAAATGATTGATAAAAGCTGTTGAAACTAAATTTGCTACATATGAATGCTTGTACTAAAACCGAGATTTAGAAATCATTCCGATAATATTTTTGATCCTCGACTATTACTACTCTAAAGTTCCAAATGACCTGGAAATTGTGAATGAATGATGGTAACAAGCCAAACATTGCAGAAGTCTTATAAACAGGTTATTTCAAAAACCTGGAGGAAGAAACGTAAGAAATATTTGCAGTCAATATTAGTTTAAAACATCAGAGGGTATTCAAGTATGTGTCCAATAAGTGAATAAAACTGAATTTTCAGCAAAAAATAATGTAGACGGAATAAATTTAAATTGCTAATTTGACTAAATATGGTCTTCTTATTTAATTACACAGTAAAAATTTTATCATCACAGATAAGAAAAAGATAAAATAATATAAATTTAAATATAGGAGGAGCAGTAAGTTACAATAATAAACCTAAATAAGAGGAAATTACGAAGCTGTTTGGTATGGAAAAGGCATGAAGTTCTTAGAAGCAAAGCAACAAATTATAAATACAATAAAGAATAAAAACTAAAAATTAATGAGCAATCACAATATTTTCTTCCTTTGTTATCAGAGTGGAGTACATTCAAAATGACAAGACAACTCAATAAAATCTGTTATGTATAAAGTTTCTTCAAAAAAAATTTTATAAATAACATAGCAGATATGAAACAGATAAAATATAATCAATACTACTAGAAGGATAGAGTTTTCATCAAGAGATAAATGACGAAAGATGACAAAGCTATAAGTGCCGCAATAAGTAGATAGTAATCATAAGTTGGTGTTTCTTCAGCAGTTGCGCAAAATGTTGGCAAAATGACAGAGCTTAAACTTGATGTAGAAGAACTGGAATTTTCCACGCTATTAGTTACATCATCGCATTTTAGCAAAGCTGACAAGTCATCTCCATCCAAATGGCGTTCACTGCTGATATCGATATCATCTAAAAAACAAGTC